CCCCCCGCGTCTCCCTGAGCGGGACGGCAGGGGTCCTCTGCGCTGAGCCGGGCGATGGACGAGAGCGGCGATCTGGGCGGTCTGGAGACCATGGAGACCCTCACGGAGCTGGGCGATGAGCTGACCCTGGGGGACATAGACGGTGAGTGATGGGTGGGTGGGAGTGCGGGGGGCGCGCGGGGAGGAAGGGGTTACGGCGGCGCGCGCGGATGCGCGTGCGCCCACTCCCCGATAACCCCGGCTCGCGCGGGAAGAACCCGGTGCGCGCTTCGCCCCAGCGGTCCCCAGCCCTTCTGGCGCTGCCAGTGCGGCCCGACCGCTCAGTTTCGGGAGGCCGTGGGATCTGGGGCGTCGGGGGAGCCGGAAGCGGAGCCGGGGTCGCGAGTTCCGGAGCGCTGGGCCGGGGGCGTCTCGGGAAGCCGCCTTAGGAGGGCGCGCGGCCGCCGCCTCCCTCGCGCGCTCACACGCGCTCTCCGTGGTCCCGTTCTCCTGCAGCCTGCGGCCGCGCGTCGCACCTGTCACTCCCTGCCCGGCCGCAGAGGCGGCTTTGGGATTCCGGGACCTTACCCCCAGCCTCCGCGCCCCCCAGCTCTGGTCTTCCCTGGATTGACCGACGGGGCCGGGTCGCCAGGCGCTTTGGAAACTTTGGGCAGCAGCTGCAGAAGCAAGTTTCTGATGAAGCGAGCGGTGGCGGCGGAGTGTGGATGCTTCTCTCCGGGATGGAGACCCGGGCGCTCCTGCTGTCACGCTGCAAAGGGAATTGAGCAGAAGGAATTTTGAGTTGTGGCCCCTCGGGTACAGGCTGGGGAGAGGGTGGCCTTTGTTCCGGCGGCCTTAACAGCGGAGTGGAAGAGCTGGTAGGAGCCCAGGGATCCTCTCTTAAAATGCTCTCGTTTTGCGACCACGGGAACCACGGTTTAGAGAGGGACAGCGACTTGCTCAAGGTCACCAGCTGGTTACAGAGCCGACTTCTCTCAGTTCCTGGGCCAGTGGTGGATTTTTTTTTTTTTTTTGCATCCCACTTTTGGGTATAAAGAGTCCAGTGAATAGACGAGTAACCTTAATAACTCTCGATATAATAGTTGGACTCCTATGTTCTAGGCCCCAAATATTTTGTATTATTTCACTTATTTCTCACAACAATCCTATAAGACAGATATTCTTATTACCCCTATTTTAATATGGTGATTAAAGAGGCTGAGGGCAGGAGATGTTGACTTGTGTATGGTCGCTTACCTTAGAGAGCAATAACTCAGATGCATTGTGCTTTTCAGTTTACAAAAGGCTTTCATGTCCAGGATCTTGCTACTTTTTCAAGCACGCATGATGGCTACATCCCCATTATGCAGATTATGAAACAGAGACAGGAGAAGATTCTTTTCTTGGAAAAGATAAATGTCAGTGGCTAATTGAAAAGGATCCGTTTGCCATTTTCCTATTTTGCTTTTGTGACATTTCTCCCCTTTGTCCTTGCTTTCCGTTTTGGTCATGGGGCACTGTGGTAGAACCTTAATTGAAGCCCCACTCCTAACCACAGACTTTTCATTAAGTGCTCCTAAAGACAGAGATGGGTTAACAAATGGGGAGGTGGAGGAGACTCTGGAACATAACAAGGGTAGCTAACATGTTTTGAGAACTTCTGTGCCATGCACTGTTAAGCACTCATGTACATTAGCATTCTCAATTCTTATAACAACCCCAGCAGATAGAGAAGACCGGTAAACTAGTCATCTCTCGCTCACGGATCCCGACACTGAAGCTCAGGGCAATTCATTAACTTACCGAAGATTACAGAGTTAGTAAGAAGTACTGTATGTCCAAAGCTACCTACTTGGCAAGGGCACAAAAAGGAATTCATGTACGTTCTGCATTCCTGTTCCATAATCAATCTTAATATGTGATGTGTTAAATTACCTCACTGTTAATACTAACTTTATCCCTGTAGATTTCTGAATAAAATATACACTCTGGAAACTACTACAGTGGTTCAGTGGCTTCAACAGGTCCTCATACCAGGTCTGATCCCCGTGGAAGACGATCCCACTTTCTGCCCTTTTAGGGGAGACCTGGCTTATAATAGTGCATGAGACTCTTTCTCAAAATACATTATATACCACAAAAGGAAGTGGTGTGGCTATTCTGTCACAAGAAACCTGGGGGCCAAGTTTGGGAAAAGTGGTTCCCTGTTTTCAGTTGATCAACAAGTAGTCAAATACTGGCTGTGGTTTCTGAGGAATCATGAAAGATAGAATTGTATGACCTTATGGAACTTGAGATGAGAAACAAACTGTAATGCTAGTATAAGACAGCTTACAGTTGCAATAAGTGAAAGTTACCGGTGAGGATAGCTTGATAAAGACTGGATTACTAGCCAGGAAGACCACAACAAGGAGATTGCTTTTTTTTTTTTTAATTTGAGTTAGAGTGTCACTCTGTTGGCCAGGCTGGAGTGCAGTGGCACATTCATGGCCACTGCAGCCTTAACCTGCTGAGTTCAAGTGATCCTTCTGCCTCAACCTTCAAAGTAGCTAGAACTACTGGCATGTGCCACCACGCCCAGCTAGTTTTTTCTTTTTGATTTATTGTAGAGTTGTGGACTCACCAAGTTGCCCAGGCTGGTCTCAAACCCTTGGGCTCAGGCAATCCTCTTGCCTCTGCCTCCCAATGCTAGGATTACATGTGTGAGCCACCGTTCTTGGCTACGTGATAGATAGCTCTTGATCTGGACCTTGAATGACAAGAATGATTGGGCAAACTGAAGTCAGTGGTCTGTAATACAAGTATCCCTTGATATTCACCCACCCATCTGTCCCCTTATTGAATGTTAGTTCATGAAGGCAGTGACCTTCATTTTATTCATACTAAATTCTTTACACCTAGAACGATGCCTGGCACAGTAAGAGTACCCACTTAGTATTTGTGGAATGCCAAATGAAACCTTGGGCTGGGCAGGATGCTGAGTTGCACTGGACATGGTTTGAAGTTGGATTAGCTCAAGGGTAGTCAGCCCAGATGCTTCAGTAAGGTGAGGAAGAGGAGAGGCAGTGGGTGTGAGTACATTTTCTTCCTTTGTATGTGTCTAGTGGAGATTAGGGATACTTGAAACCGAGAGAGCTCATACCTGCCTCCAGAAGGTACCAGCAGGCAGGAATCCTTTCTCCAGCATCTGCTGTACTCCAATCCATTGGTACCCTTCAGGGGTATGGGCTCAAGGAAACCACATTCTTTCACTCATTCAGCACATCTCTTGAGTAGCTTCTGAGTGCCCATGTGATGGGCAAAGTGCTGAAGATGGCTTTGAATAAGACCGACAAGATTTCTTCTCTCTCACATTTAACTTGTGTTGATGGAAGAAACACAAGTTAAATAAAATAGATAATTTTGGCAGAGCACTGTGAAAAATAATATTGGGCCATATTGTAGAGAGTGACTGGATAGCCTACTTTTGACTTGGTAATCCAGGGAGGCCTCTTGGAAGAACCATGAGTGTCCCTTTTTCAAGAGATGTCCAAGTCTGGATTTTTATGCGAAATATCCAGATTTGTATATATTGGCCCAGAAATAAAACAATGGCTGGGCATGGTGGCTCAAGCCTGTAATTCCAACACTTTGAGAGACGGAGGCAAGAGGACAGCCTGAGCCCAGGGATTTGAGACTAGCCTGGGCAAGTCAGTGAGACCTTGACTCTACAATAAATCAAAAAATTAGCCGAGTGTGGTAGCGCGAGCCTGTAGTTCCAGCTACTTGGAAGACTGATGTGGAAGGATTGCCTGAGCCCAGCAGGTCAAGGCTGCAGTGGCCATGAGTGTGTCTTGCCCTCCAGCCTAGACATTAGAGTTAGATGCCAACTCAAAAGAGAAAAAAAAACCCAGCATACTGCAGATGCCCAACGAAACGTGTATGCTAGTTGCTCCAGGGTCTTTTTCTGCTACTCCAAGTGTTTTATTGTCCCAGGCCCCCAGGTCTCTCATGATAGAATAGCTGTACCACTTCACTTTTGTTATATATCTGTATTTTGAGAAAGGGCCTCATGCACTGTATGTAAGTTCTCCTGGAAGGGCAGAGGTGGGATCCTCTTTCACGGGGATCAAGAAAGGCACGTTGTGAAGTGTCACCTTTCTAGGTCCAAAAGGACGGTTGGAGGAGTAGCATGACAGGCGTGTGGAAGGAGATGGACCATGCTGCCTTTAGAAATGAAAGGTTACTGAGATTTCTTGGAATATACAGTGTGTGTAAGGAGTCAGCAGAAGATGAGGTCTGAGAGGTGAGTTGGAACCAAATTGTGTTCCAGATGCAAGATGTTTTGTGGATTGTAGGGAGGGAATTGTTGAAGATTTTCAAATAGTGAATGACACATTAATCATGAGTTTTAAAACAATTAAGAAGTGGTGATAGGCAAGGAAAATTGGAGGCAGGGAGAACAATTAGGAGGAAACTAGCCATCTGGGTGTGAGGTGCTACTAAAAAGGTGGCAATTTTGGATAGGAAGTGGCCATCATTCAAGATGCTGATGTGACAGGACTTGTCCTCCGTGAAGGCTTGGCCCTGAAAGAAGGGCAAAGGTGGAATTCTATGAGCCCATTAAGTCTTTAAACCTGGGGCATTGGGAGAGCTCAGAAGCCAGCAGGAAGAGCTGGTTTGGGGAGATGAAAATTTGTCTTAAATGGGCTGAAATTGGGATCCCTGGGGATCATGTAGTAGGAAATAGGAAGCAGACACTCAGGAAAGGTCAAATCTGGGGTGGAGATTGAGGAGTAGTTGCTGTCGAAATGTGAGAGGAGAGAAATGGGAGGTTTGAGGTGAGGAAAGTGTAACAAACTAAGAGGAAATGAATGGTCAGTGCATGATAGAGACAGTGCTGCAGAGGACAGCAGGGATGACAAGGCCCTGAAAGCAGTCATGGATTTGATAATTAGGAGGTTGACCTTTGACAGAGCAGCCAGGTGAGGTGGTCCAAGGCGAGATATCCCAGGAAGAAGCAGTCCAATGAGGTGGTCTAAGACTGGATATACTGAGAAGGAGGTGGAAGTGAGTGGGAGATGGACAAGTACAGGCAGCTGCTCTCATTGAAGACTTTTTTTCAGTGAACTCATCTACTTCATATCTTTATGGGTTTGCCTATTCTGAACATTTGATAAATGGAATCAGACAGGTATGTGGCTTCTAGCATGATGTCGTTCAGGCTCATGTCGCAATGTGGTGTCCCATTGTATGGAAACACCACATTTTGTTTATCTACACATCAGTAAATGGACATTTGGGCTATTTCCATTCTGGCCATCATGAATGAAGCAGCTGTGAACAGCCATGTGGACATATGTTTCATTTCTCTTAGATAAATCTACATTTTTTATTGTGGTTTGTGTCTTCCAAGGGCTTGTAATAGTCCGGTTTATTCGCATGCTTCATTTCTATGTTACTGTAACTAATTCAGCCCTAGATCTTATGACAGAAACTCTCAGTGTGGTGGTCAATTTCTTTTTTTCCTGGAGCCCTCCCTGTTTTTAAAACATCTGATGGTGATTGTTTGGGTCTGCTCTCCCCCACTTATCTTGGGGGACCTTAACAGCACCCTGGGAAGCAGTGTTGAAGCTCCTGTTTCCTAGTTCTTGTTTTTTTTCTCCCTTGTTTTGATGGAGCACATCCTCTGGTACTTCCTGAGAAACAATACATTGGAGGTAAATTTTTGAGGCCTTGCCTGTCCAGAAATAATTTTATTCTAGCCTCATTCCAATTTGAGAACCTGGCTGAGTTTAGAATTTTTTAGATTGGACATAATTTTTTTTTTTTTTTTTTTAGTTGGAGTCTCACTCCGTTGCCCAGACTGGCGTGCAGTGGCCACTGCTGGCCACCACAG